AACCCTAAACCTAAAACCTAAACCTAAACCCTAAACCCTAAACCCAGGCCTTCGATTTCTTCCAGCAGCCAGAACAGCGCTCCGAGACGGCTCCGGCGCCCTGGCTGCGCTTGCAGGGAGGCCGGCCCGAAACGACGGGCCGACTCCAGCAATACACCCACCTGCTTTAGGGTTTGGGGTTTAGGGCCAGTTTAGGGTCTAGGGTGCTTGCTAAGGAACTTGTGAAGGATCGAGTTCTAATCCGGAAACCATATCCCGTACCCTCAAAGGACTCATATCTTAAGGCTTTTGGGCCCAAAGACCCTATTATAAAAGGCTTTTGGGCTATTTTGATGCTAAGGGTATCATCTACTATAGGAGCCCTCTTTGATAACTTAAGCAAGTTTCTCAACAAGAACCCAGCCACAGAGGGCCACTCGGATGAGGCGCCAGAGGCTGCGAGAAAACCTGCCATGTCCGTCTTCCGTTGCTCCACGTTGTCCGAGGGCTTCCACTTGCTTTGGAAGGTAAACGGCACGGCCTTCACCTTCCAGCGGCTCTTGTTCTTGGTCTCGCCGGGCTTTATGTAGCAATATCCCACATACTTTGTAAGCTTTGTCAGGCCCGAAGACAGCACATGCAATGAGAAGCAGGACCGACACACCTTTCTCAAATTCGGGTAACACGGTTGCAGCAGCTCCTGCTGGCAGTAGTTCATGAGGCACTCCATCAGCGACGCTGGCGGCTTCTGCAAAACTGGAGAAATCAACACACAAACGCTCCCGTCTTGTACGACCGAAGTCAGGCTCTGATAGATCTGTTGCTGCCAGTCATGCGCCGCCTTGGCCGAAGGTGCAGCCACCAAAATCACCAAGCTTTCGTTTTGAATCTCGCTCTGCAGCATACTGAGAATCTCAGTATCTTCACCATTTTTCCCTCCTTCCCGCAACTGCTGCAACAGCTGGAGCAAGGGAGTCCGCAAGATGCCCTTCTTCATGTTCTGCCAGAGAACTTCTCGTAGCCCTGTGTCACTGATGAAGCACGTCTCCTGCATCTGTCGTGGCTTCTGAAGGATGCAGATGTTCATCGTGTCGCATCTGTGGTAGTTCCAACGCCCCAGTGTCGAGTGTTGTTATGATACAACTACTTCACCTACTACTTCTCCTACTCCTACTCCTACTCCTACTCCTGCTCCTGCTCCTACTCCTACTCCAACTCCAACTCCTACTCCTACTCCTACTCCTACTCCTACTCCTACTGCTCCTACTGCTCGTCCTCCTCCTACTACTAGTACTAGTA